ATAGATAGATAGATAGATAGATAGATAGATAGATAGATAGATAGATACTCATTCCCATGAATGTCAATTACATGTACCCATAGTTCTTGACCATAACAGAGCCTGCCTGTTAACAGTCAAAAGTCATGAGGATTGTTAAATCTGGTGCCCATGTGGTCACCTCACTTAATGATTCTAGTTCCTGCTCTCCTTGTGGTTATTAAGCGAACATGTGGACTGCTAATAGGAGCATGCGATGCCTCTGGTGGCAGAGGCCTAATCCAGTATCCCATTGTACTACCCTGGATCATATGTTGCCTCCTAGGGCCTCACTCATCCCAAGTCACTCATGCTCTGCTTACCTTGGGCCTGCTTTCCTACCCCATTCAATCCACACAGGCCTTCCCACCTTGCTCGATTGAGCTGCAATGAATAATGGTCACTCCAAAATTGTGCCCATTTCTAGACTGTGCCTCATGGCCTCTGTACTATATAAGGAGGCTAAGGAATGGAGCAGTCAGCTTCTCATTCTGAAGCCAATCTCCTAAATTCCCAAAATGGTGCCATCTTCTGGGATGGCATCAAACAGCCTCCATGTAAGAAGACCACACAATGCATCAGCTGCTTCCTGAAGGAATTTTACAGGAAAAAAATAAGTGCCAAGTCATGGTGGGGAGGAAGGTGAGATTCAACAGTGTAGGAAACAGACCCAAGGCAGGATGAAGGAAGATAGTCTGCAGTCTGTCCTAAGGATGGATCAGTTGCCAAACACCTAGATTTTGTTCATGTGACCGTGAGGGTGTTGTATCAGCTGTGAAATTCAGGCAGAGGTCATACATACCTTCATTTGGTGCTATCATAAGTTTGAACCACCGCTGAACAAATGTTTTTATATAAGTTTTTTCTTTATTTGGTAAATATTGAATGATATTATTTTTTTTTAAGCCACGTAGAGAAGTTTTAGTACCGTTTCCTACTCAAACTCAGGATATGATTCCTGTTACAAACCTTACAAGCCCATTTAAGAATGAACAAGGTAATGTATAGTTTAAAGATAATCCATTTCTTGACTAGTTTAGCTTAAATGTTTTGTGAATCAGGTAGGAATTGGAAGATGATATATGTATCAGGAGGGTTCCAAGGAAACAGTAGGAAAAAGTACAATAATGAAATGTATATAAAGTAAGGCCTTAGTAGTGTCCAAGAAATATAGTAGCATGCTTAGAATAAAAAAGGCCTGATTATAGGATAGGTCAAGTAAAGCTATTGAGCTGATGGGATAATTGCTACTAAATGAGTTCGAACAAATGGTAATTAGTATTGAAATAAGTTATTTGACTTTTTGTTTACATTGATTGGTAACTGCTTAATCCTTATTTACATGAGTTGACAGATTAAATCCATGACCTATTTTTAATTATAAATCATTTCATATTATTTGTGGCTTTGCATTCTTTTATTTTAACAAATGTTTCAAGAATTTTTATAGAAGGACAGAGATTGAGAAACAATATGAAAAGTAACTTGAATAGCTAGGTCAATAAACTAGGATTTTAGTCAATGAAACGCAGACAATATTCAGTTTTCTAGTGGGAAAGCTAAAATTCTATATCAAGTATTTTAAAAGCTTTTAAGTATACTGAAATATTTTGTTTATTTGTATTAAATATTAATCACATTATAAAATCTATTGGTAATTTGGTTCAAATCATTTTTATAGTTGTGCTCGAAACTTCATTCTACTTTCTGAATATCTTCAGTCATGGAGTGTTGCCCCCTCACTGCAATCAGCGTTTCCTCCCTTGTGAAATTGGGTGTATCAAATATTCACTTACGGATGGTATAATTGCAGAATTTCATCATTTTATAAATCCTGGTGAGTGTTGGAAAAAGGAGAATGAATTTGTTCTGATTTGTCTGAAAATAGAAGGGGCATAGAGGTTCAGGCCTATTGTAAAAAAAGTAGGTTTCAGTTTGTTCAAGCAATCTGGTTTAATGATTCCGGCATACTGAAAAAATAAAAATTCTAATGGCCCAAATGGTTTGACAATATTATTAGCGATGAATCGATCATGATCAAATAAACATTACATCTCCAAGAAAAAAATGTTTTGACAGTGCAAACTTCCTATGATCTTAATTTTTTTTATCTGTCAGATTTGGCTAATGTCTTGAAAGAGAAGTACAGGTAGCTCTCATTCAGCTGCCGTAAGAAGTTAACAATGGCACTGACTGAAGGACAATAGGACAGTAAATTATAGGTATTCATAAAACAATTTAGCATCACATAAAGTCAATGTATTTTGTTTGATTTTTGGTAGGAGAAGTACCACGGGGATTTCGGTTTCATTGCCAGGCTGCAGGTGAGTAGTGCATAAAAGCTGAAACAAATATATACTCAATAAATTTGAGTAAATTTTTATTCATTTTTTTCTTCAATACAGTTGGGTATTATATTAGATTTTCTGAAACATTTGCTTTTATTTGTATAACTTATTCTGTGTAGCATGATATTGTTAAGAAACTTCAGCAACCTCACAATTATATACCATTTTTAAAACTTTCATGTAGGTTTTTTTTAGCTCTTATTGTGGCATATCTATTGTATCATCTAATCTACAGACTTTATTGAACATTGCATATTACATTTTTCAGTACAATTTTCTAGAAGCTAGAATTTTCCCCTGAATGATAAAGCAAACAGTGTTTGTAGATAGTACTTTAAATCAAATATAATAATATAGCAGATTTCAACTTTTGGAAAATTCTTATTTCAAAAAGATGCCTTATATTGGAACATTTTATTTTATATTTAAGATAAACATTTTTACTTGTTTATGCGACTAGTTTTGTTCTTATTGAATATTTTAATAATTAAATTAAGATATTTGAGTTTTCATCATAGAACTAATATATAGATCTTGCAATCTATAAGTATAGTTAATATTAGAATATGTATGAATGATACTTTGCATCTTAAAATATTTCAAATGTTCCCTTAGGTGATGCTACCCATAAAATTCCCATAACTGGTTTTGATACTGCAACTGCAAGTTACTCAGTTGTGTTGCATGACCTGTATGAGTTCATCAAACCACAAAGGGGCAACTGGCCATCTGTATATTGTAAGGTACATTGACTTGACATTCAAATTTCTGAGAAATAATTGAATAAGAATATCCATCCAAATGTGTTTTCACATAGATGAATTCAGCTACAGGGATAAAGCCTTTTTCACTTACATTTATTAATTTAAAAGCATTTGATCAGTTATTCATCTAATCCAAGCCTTCAGTGTTAAAAAAAGTTCTTGGCTATCTTGTTCCTCAAACATTTAAGAGTAGGTGTCTAATGTTTCTACCATTATTAAAGTATTCTAAGTCTAGCTAGCCTCATGTAAACCAAGGTCAAATTTTGAACACTACATTTCCAATATTTGACCCACTATTATTAAAAGACTCACGTAGGTATCAAAATCATTTCTACTTAAGTTCACGTACCGGTATCTATTTGTCTGTCTGCTTATATTTTACATTACTGAATTGCCCATCTTCCTCAAAGAGGGACCCTGGGCAGTGTACAATAAAGAATCAAAATATAAAACTATATAAAAATTGAAATGTTAAGTTAAAATTACAAAATTTTCAAAGAGGCAAAAATAATTAAATTTTGTTTAAAATGAGTTGATGAAGGTATAGGACGGCAATCATTTTAATAACATTCCATGATTTTGAACACTTAGTTTAAGCAATCCATTGGTAGTTTATAAATTTTATATTGTACATAATTATTTGTATTGCTGTTTGGAGATTTTGGGCCTGTTGATCAGAATGCATCAAATGACATTTTAATTAATATTATTAATGTGATCTAATTAAATAAATTAGAGCCTTAATATATATTTAAGACATTTTAAGAGAAAGCAAGTTCTTCTGTTTCTCTTCAGTATCTATGTACTGAATAAATAAATATTTAATTCAAAATATTTATTTTTGTAGTCTGATGATCACTTCAGAGTAAACTGGTGCCTGAAATATATGGCTAAAGAAACAGGTAAGAAACTGTTACCTTTATAATAGAGAAAATATTGTTCACAAATGTTTTGTAATATTCTTGATGTTGAAACTTATTTTCCTAATAGGCAGAGTCAATCATCTAAAGCTTTTAAATGTGGAGGATCTTGTTGTGGAGCTGTATTATAAAAAACTTCAAAAAGAACCTTCTAAAACTTGGGTGTGTAATACACTGGATGCTTCCATGTGGGATTACTCAGGAAATACTAGGTATATTTTGTAATCTCCCTTTTTCTTTCTACATTCCGAAAGAGCCATAAACTTGTACATCTCTGTTTTGCAATGTTTTATCTACTATAAATAACACTTTTTTTCAAAATTACACTTAATATGGTTTTGATGTTTTTTTTATCTTACTGCATAATGTTCATAGAAATAATTACTTCAGTTTGTATCCTGAAACTCTCAGAATATACAAAACCATTAGCATGGGAATATAGTGCTTTTAAAATTATGAAGGGATGCATAATTCCTATGAGGAGGAAAAAAAATCTTGCTTCAAGTAATTGAATTGATACTTGATGGTTAATATTCCCGAAGATGCTACACTGACATGTGATAATTGGTTGGCGACCAGCATGCATTTGTAACTATTGCAGTACCCTGCATTCATTTCCTTCTTTCCTGCCCACTTCAGTTCCACCCTCCTACCTATCACGCCTCAACATCTCTTTCTTTTTTTCTGGCTGCCCTATATAGCACAACTGAGATGAAGCCATTGCTTTATGATGTTGCCCTCTCTGCTGCCATCCCCTCTGTCTCCAGCTGACCTTAGTTGTTGTCTTTGCTTTGCCTCTCCTTTGCTGGATTCACCAACACCAACCAAAATCTGCATGGGGCCTCTGTCAGTCATGCTCTGCAGTGCCTCCCTAGCTGCCAGATCCTGGTGGATTTATCCTGCTTCAGCAGTTGTAGGACTTGCAAAAATACCCCCTCTTTGCTATCCGGTGGAAGGATCATCCAGGCCAGCAGAGAACTTGCAGTGTCCTGGTGTGCAGTGGGATCCAGAGAGATCTCTCTAGATAGCTTCCTCTTTTGTGCAGGGCAGCAGTAGAACTTTGTGCAGAGCATGTAGAGCCTCTAGGCTAGTGATTGGTTGAGATTGCTGACATCTGGCAGGCCTACCAGGAGCCTTGCAGCCAAGATGACGGGGTGTGGGGGAAATGAATCCAGTGCCAACAGAGTCCCTGTCCACCCTGTGGAAGCCGGCAGAATCCAGTGGGGGCAAAGTAGACCAAGGTTAGTTTAGCGATGGGGAAGAGCAGAAGCAGGTAGGTGGCATAATGCTGTGCCTACCATCTTATCCATCATATATTTTTGTATTTTATTCTATGATCTAACAAAATGTTTAATAGCAATAGCACTTAGGCTCAAGTATATACAGTGCTTTACATCTCTCTCTAAGCGATTTACGGAGTCAGCATGTTGCCCCCAATAATTTGGGACCTCATTTTACCCACATCCGAAGGATGGAAGGCTGAGTGAATCTTGAGCCTGGTGATATTTTAACTGCCAAATTGCAGTCAGCAGAAGTAGCCAGAAGTACTTCATTCTAACCACTGCACCACTATGGCTTAAAGACTAAAAAATGACAGAGATGGAAAAGAAGATAGGTTGGTGGAAAAGTAGAAATGGAGCTGCAGTCCATGTAGGGCAGGAAAAGCGTGAGATCCTTGCCTAACAACCATATCCAGGACTGCTGTTACTAAATATATTACTCTTGTGATGTTTTACTTAACTGCTTCACTTAGTGACAGAAGTTGTAATCCAAGAATTACCTGTATTCATGATTGGAATTGGGTAAAAAAGTCTCGTAGTAAAGTACATGACCTAAATTTCTCTGGGCAAAAGCACACAGTGGTCTCTGCTTAAGACAGTGCTTCCGAAATCTAGGGAAATTACCCCCAAAATAGTTTTCCTTTAGGTAGCAATAACCTATTACCCATCATAACAGGCATATTTAACTTGATGTAATGATTACAACTTCACTAAAATATATTAGAAAATTCTCCTAAAGTATTCCTATTAAGATGAAAATCAATGAAATTGTCAATGGTGATTTGTTGAAATAATGTAAAGATCATTCAGCAATATTGTTTTTAATGGTTCAGATTATCCTCAAATTAACAACCATTCATTTAACAACTGTTCAAAGTTATGACAATGCTCAGAGAAAGTATCAGTTTTTGATGTGTGTTAGAACTTTCTGATAACTGAGTTTGGATAATGAAAGAAAAAGTTTGGAAAGGAGTGGTTTAAGGGATTTCACAAAATAGTCAAAACGAAAAGTATAATGTTTTAATCTGCTGAAAAGTGTTATACACAGAGTGAACCACTAATAATTACAGTGAGAGTTGTTTTAGTTATTTTTTTTCAACAGAACTATAATACTTAGATATTGTGTGTGTGTAAAATATCCATGTATATTTTACATTTACTTTTTTTAGCAAGTTTTATGTTTTAATGCATAAAACATTGTGATTAACCAAAGTAGATTTGATTTTAGTCTTCTGGCATCTTAAAGACTTAGACTTTTGAGATACTTCTGAAAATGTTTAAAAATCTTGAACTATGTAAATAGAAAATTGCAAGATCACCTTGTACTGAAAACGTGTTGATACCTATGCATTAGCTCAACAATATTAATTAGCATTCCAAATTCTGTCTTATTGATGCAATGTGTATTTGAAATTCTGTATTCATTATGAAAATATGGTTTCTATTTAGATGTGAGTGGCATGAAAAAAATGATATTGTATTCTGTGCTCTTGCTACATGTAAGAAAATTGCGTAAGTATACATTTTCATTTTACTTTCTATAAAGCTTTTGCACTTTGGTTAAAAATAAAAAGCTGTTCAATATACTGGTTAAGGAAACAAACTAGAAACTGAATGATTGTGTATTCTAGTGCTACCTTACACACAAAGTAACTGGTGACCTTGGACCAATCACATTGTTTCAGCCCTTGGAGGAAAGCAATGGTAAACCATATCTGAAAAATCTTGCCAAGAAAAGTGCAGGGACTTATCCAGGCAGTCTCTAATAATCGGACACAATTGAATGGAGGAAGAAGAAAAAACAACTTTTGGAAAGGCATATTAGCTGCGTGGTGTCTGGGGTTTTATTTTGCAAATAATTTGTGGATTCTTGTGACAATCACCAATCGTCTTAAGGTTCTGCTATTTTTATATTGGTGATTTAGTAAGAATATATTTTAAGGGGCTTCCAGTTTGAGCTTCTTCGGCGACAGACCAAAAATCCGTGATTGTGCTCGGTTTTGATCTGTGCTCGCCGCTGGAGCGCCCTGAGCCGGCTGGTTTCAGGGCTAAGCCACCCTATATAGGTGGTGAAGAGGAGGGAGACTGCCAGCAGGGTCGAGGAGAGTCTTATCTCTCCTCCCCAGCTGGCCATTATTCCCTTTCCCGAAGGCGGTTGCAGCGGTGGTCAGAAATGGCCACCTCAAAGAAGAACTCGACCAGAAAAGAATGTGCAGGAGGAAGATAAGAGAAAGTTTTGGCTGACCAGGTCGAACTGAAAAAGCAACAATATAAGATACCCTGGAATTTGAATTATAAAGAATAACATTGCTCCCAAAGAAGACTTTGAAGCGGCGAATGAGAGAGGGAAGGGAAAATATTTGGGTTTTTTTTTCTTTTCTTCCCTATATTGACAACTAAGAGATTTAAGCAAGAAATTGGCAAAAATCCACTTTGACATTAACAGGCATTTAAGCTGAAAATAAAATGTCAAAGGGATAATAAAGATTTCTGGATTCTCAAACACTTTTAAAAGAAGGGAAAAAAAGGGTGGGATCTGGAAAAATGGAGGAGACCACCTGGAAGTGAAAGAAGTTAACAGTGAAACTTTAACAAGATTCCTAAAAGATACATTTTAACTGAAACTTTGTAACAAAATAAGAGAACCCCAGGAAGAGAAAGTGGAAAAAAGAAGCAAGAAGAAATAGCTTTGGATTATTTGGATTACTTGGTGATTTTTGGATTTTTGGCTATTGGATCTAAAGGACTAAAATTATTCGGGTGGTTGTTTAAAAGTTTTTAAAATGGTATCACTCTTGGAAGAATTGAGAATGGAACTTAAGATGCACAAGAAGGAAAAGGTTCTTTTGGCTTCGTATTTTAATTTTTGGATATGGAGATCCTGAACTATGAGAAACAACAAGAAATGCCTGTTGAACAAGAAGGGCGGAACAAAGAAGAAGCCATCTTCAATGACCAAGTATTTCTATGCAGGGAAAAGAAAGGAAAGGGGGGAAAGAGAGTGAAAAATTTAAGATTTGAAAAAACAACCCCAAAAAAGAATAGTTTGAAAAGTAATTACAATATTAGGAAGAAACAAAAGAGAGGATTACAGAAGAGAGAATCAGAATTAGAGAGAGAAGGGGTCAAAAAGGGAAGGGAGAAGAAGAGGGGGAAGAGGGAAAGGAAAAGAAATTATAAAGGACAGAAACAGGGAAAACGTACAAGGATTAAGGGTATAAGCCTATTTAGAAGACACAGAGATAATGGGTGAAAATTTAAAAAGGGGGATTCTGCAAGGGTACATAAGATAGTATTGTTATATTAGAAATAGAAATGAACTTTGAAAATACGAAACAAGTGTGATTAAAATGAAAGATAAAATACTAATTGTAATGGAATGGAATGTTTAATAAATAAATGAAATAAAGAGAATGAGAGAATGAAATTAGGAAAGGAGGGGAACATTTTAATTATTAATGTGTTATAAAAATTTAAGGGAAGAGGAATATGAAAGAAATATGAAAAAATTATGGAAGTGTTCCTAGACGTATGATATCCTATTGAATAGAAATGTTAAAGATGTTAAAGATTATAACTAACACTAATGATAGAGCTAAATTGGAATAGAATAAGTATTTTATTTATTATTGTTATATATATATTTTCTCTTTAAGAACTTAGTGCGTATTTTAAGAATGTACCAAGCAGAATTCGACTGGAAGCTATGTGTTATATTGAATGTTATAATTGTAAAGGCATAAATTGAAGTTTAAATAAGAGTTGAATGGATACAAATTAAAAGATGCAAAGGTGTCATACTCCAATCAGTAACTACAGGGGAAAATTTTGTTTAATGAGAAAAGAAAATATGAAATTGAAACAAGACAGACAAAAGTATAAATATAATGATTAGAAAGATATTGAAACTTAGAAAAAGATATATATAATTGAATTTAGAAAGGAATGAGATAATTAAAAGCAAGATTGAGAAAATTAAGGGAAGGGAAAATTATTGAGAAAATGTTAAAATAGTAATAAGATATGAAATAGAACACAAAGATGAATATGGAATTGAATTTGTGACTGTATGGAGAAGTGATAACTCGGGACCATGCTATTCTCAAAAAAAGAAATTTTACTTGTATTGTGTTTTGTGAAAACCCAAATAAATTTTTTATTAAAAAAAAGAATATATTTTAAGTTAATCTAAATAAAACCAATGATTCAGTGAATCATTTCTAGTGATGGAATTTGATTTCTCGTTGCTCTCAAATCCTTAGAGCAGATTTTGATAAAATGTTTTGCAGACCACACAGACAAAATTACTTCGATTTATTTCCAGTTAGATGCCATCTTGGTACATGTAAATCCACATGTATTTAATACAATATATTAAATACTTATATTAAATACATGTGAATTTCTCTTCAGCTATGACAGTTACACAGTTTGTCTCAATATGTGCTTTTGCTATTCAATTTAGATACTGCATCAGCAATTCTTTAGCAAATATGTATGAAATCCATTTAACTGCCTCTCATTTACCACTAACTGAGAAGAACTGCAAGAGTACAACAAATCCTAAAATGATAGTGCTGGATGCTAGACGCTTCCAGGTTAGTTTTCTAATTTAACTGTTTTTCTTCTGTTATACTGCTTATTTTATTGGAACATGTGATGTGTGTGTGAGAGAGAGAGAAAGAGAGAGAATGAGAAAGAATGTGATTGTTGAGATTATGCTTTAAGGTGGTGCCGTAAGGTCTTCAGCTAGGTATTTTCTCCCTTAGAAATTTTGCAATTTCTTCCATGTTTTCCATAGGAAGTTTTCAGCACTTCATATGGGTCCTGCTAATATATAAAGGGAGACTAGATGAACAAATAATATCAAAGTTTGGTTCTTTCATTTATTTCATAAAATAATCCAGTATCTCCCCTGTTCAGGCAATTCATTTAAAACAATAACTATGGCCAGTTTTGTGAACACTTCATTAAACAATCAGGACTAATTTGTGACAACTATGTCCTTTATGAATATCATAACTTTATTTCCTTTGCCTACTTACAGTGAAGTTGTTAACTAGGAGATTCCAGAAGCACATTATTTACAAGAGAGATAATCTGAAGTTCTCCACTAAATTTATTGATTTTTTAAATTTATTTTATTTATTAAATATCTATGCCACACATTTCCACTACAAGGTGACTGGTCAGAATAACTTATACAAACAAGTGAAAAATAGTTAAAATGAACAAGAGCCAAGAGGCCAACCAGCAAGACCAAATTTTGATATACTTCTGGAAGGCCAAATGGGAGGGAGCAGTTCTCACCCATCATGGTAGAATGATCTGCTAGGGCCAAATGATTCTTCTTCTTGGTCCCATCTTCAGTTCCTTAGCGGACAGGATCTGTAGCAGACCTCTTCAACTGGGGTGGGCTTGAGACAATGTTGTATAGAAAAGTTACAAAACTATTCCTAAAGATCTGCAATTCTTCAATCCTTAGTCAGAAATATAATTTTACTAGATTATATGTAACTCTGGATTGAAGTGTTGAGTTCTTAGTGTTCTGTGTGCTTGGTTGTTTGGTTGCAGATATTCTCTAATTACTTAACATACCATTTTGAAATGGAGATTATTTGGGCCAATAATACAGTCTTCTTAAGAATGGTTATCCTGTAATATAACTTTATGAGTGCTGCTTAAAATTGTCCAGTAAGTAATAGAAAACCTCCGAAAAATATCCAGGGAACTCCAGGCGTCTTATCTTGGGTAAATTCTGTGTCATCACTCCTTTCTCTGTAAACTACTGGATAAAAATAGGATTCATGGGAAAATAGCAAGGCAGAAGCCATCACTCATTAGCAACATTGAAACTTGACTGAAGTTCACCATAAAAAATGTTGGAACCTTTCAAAAAAATGAACCTTTCAAATTTGAAAAAAATGGTCAACGGACAAGTGACTATTATTTCACAATATTGAAAGTTTAAAGTTTCATGAACTCTGGTATTCTATATTTTGTAGACTCTTTGATGAGTTTTAGCATTTGAAGATACGTTATTTATGTTTCTGTTTTTAATTATTTCAAAATGTTTTACTACTAATAGTACAATAAGTTGTTTTGTATAATTTGCATTTCAAGATATAAGTTCAAAAGTAGGTTAATAGTTTTGGTTGTTGGCACACTGAAGTTTCTTAACTATTAAATCCACTTTGTCTTTCTTTGCAAAAATACCTTGAAGACCTATATTGGTAATCTTGTGTTTGAATTGCAGAAAGGGAAAATCGAAAGCACTGGAAATGATAGTTATTTTAGATCTCTTAATAAGGATCATGGTGCCACACCTTGTAGTGGTAAGTAGAGATTTATTTTGCAAGTTCAAATATGAGGATAACATACTATTCTTAAAAAATAATACTGGTTGAAATCTAATAAAAGTATTGAAGTATATCCTTACGTGTGTCAGATCTTAATAAGCTTATCTACTAAAACCACACTTAAATTGGGCAGGGTTAATACAAACAATAAAATTATTCTAGTTGTTAAAAGTTTGAAAAATAACTAAATTAAATTATAGTTAATTCCTGATAATTATTTAACTATTTAACATTATTTAAATCATGTATTATGGTTGTAAATTTTTGGAAGGTCAGACAAATGGTTTTGAGGAGGTATAGGCTGTGCATTTCTAGTCTTTTTCTTTGGAAAAAAATGTAAGCAGTTGACCTTTCTCAAGCTAGCTGATGATACTGTTCTGGCAAAAGGTGTTAAATAAAGTAAACTGCTTCCTGCTTTATTCTTTGGCATTACCATAATAGCTGCATTTTCAGAGAAATCTGAGAAGCTATCTTCTCCCCTCCATTCCCAGGTTTGGGAAGGAAGACTAGCTGTACTCAAATCACAAATAAGTATATTGTATTGTTGACCAATTATATTTATTGGCACCTCAGCTAAGCTTGCTACTTCTTGAACAAATACAAACATTACAATAATTCCTAATAATTCTAAATATGGCTCTGTTTGAAGTAGTTATATTAGCTTTGGCTTCAAGATAGCACTTAGCCAGTTTTGTCTCTGCTGGGAAATTAAATGGGTCAGACTTGTGTAGTACTTGGATAGGAAACTATTGGAAACACAAGTCAGATAGCTAAGTTAGGAAATCACAACTCATTCTAGAAGAAGCCAGTGGCAAGCCATTCCCAAGAAAACATAATGGTTATGTCCATATCATCACAAGAATTGAACTCAATGTCAGTGTATCTTTCCTATCTTCCCATTTTGAAAAAAAATAATATCCCATTCCCTATCTGCTAAAGTTTTTTATTTCCTATGCATACTTATTTTCAATTGTGATGGATGAATATATGGACTATGTATGCATGTTAAATTTGTGTAAGTTCTTTGTAATTCTATGTAAAGCAGAGCTGTCAAACTCCTGGCCCATGGGCCATATGTGTCATGCTGGCCACACCCAAACCCAGTTTAGTGAAGAGGAAAAATGTCCCGATACATCATGTGATGCTGTTGTGATGACGTGAGTTTGACACCCTTGGTGTAAGGCAATGTAGCTTATATATTGACAGTACTGCATTTTTTAAAGGTGTAATTCCCTCAGGAGTGAAAACGATGCATTCACCCATCCCTAGAAGTGGAAGAGGAATCGCACAGTTTTTGGAAAGCACCTTCAAGTAGTCCAACATTTAGAAGCATTTGATTTCTTCTGTATATGTGATTATAATTATCATTAGGTAATTAATTTACATTTATCTGCTATATATGTTATATTTTTTGGGGAAAAAATCATTTAGGAAAATTTTGTTCTTAAAGTAACATGTTTGGGTGCTGTAAGGCAAGCTGTGTATTTCTCCGATTAGGAATGTTTAATGAAAAATAGAGGAGACTGCATAGTGAAATCAGTAAGACTAATTTTTCAAGCAATGCTTTGATTGCTAAAGCCTATAGTACATTACTCAGAGTACAAAGATTAGCCATCTTTTTTGCTTTTCCACTAAAGTTAATTTTGTTTTTTATATGGCATAAGAAATCTTTAGCAATAAGACAATTTTTCATAAATTAATATCAAATAGCTTTTGTTTAGGTTTTGTGCAGTCGGTTACAAATTCTTACAGTACCCAGGAATTAGACAATTGAAAAATCAGAGTAGAAGTTACTCTGCTATTCTGAAAATGCCGTAACAAGGCAATAAAGATTATTTATTCTTTAAGATTATATATTCCTGATGTTCACAGTGTTACTTTCTTTCAGGATACTTATAAATCAAAACCATGTTATATCAATCTTTCTTAAACCAATATTAAACTGCTGTTCTAATTTTTGTGTGAAATTTTTTGTGCCCAAAGTCTGCCATATAGGAATGGGAAATTGCAAAATGTAACATAAAAGAATATGAAAGCAAATGTAGATAACACTGCTGTAGAGACACGTTGCACTCATATTGCCTGAACTGACAGTGCTTTATGTGAGTGAGGTATGAAAATTGCATCATTGTTCTATGCACAAATAGAAGTTTCAGAAAAGAAAAATAATTTGTATATTGAGTATGATAGGCCTACGAACAACTCTCCAAAGGGATCACTTACCTGTGTCCCCCATCCAAATTATCCCTTTACTTCTATTTAGCAAGTAAAACACAACATACTAACACATTTTACATTTTGTCATTTGGTTCCAATGCTATTTTTTAAATAAGATTGTATAAAATCAAACTTATACTTACTATAGTTTAAAATTCACACAGTCCCTGTTATATTAGAAGTGTATTTATTTATTTAAAACATTTACCTAGGCTCCCTGTCTTGTACTAAGTTGTGGGCACCTCTCGAGTTCTAATGCATTGGTCTAAATTAAATTTGTATTTTAACGAGCATTCTTAGGTACAAATGATAAAATACATGGGTGAGATACATTATATGTTGCTTTGGGAGCTAATGATAAAATATATTTTCCATTGAATCCAGTCATCTGAATAAATTGTCTGGAACTGTCATTTCAAGGAATTCTCAAGAGGATGTGCAGCTGTCAGGAATGAAACACTTATATAACAGAAATTCCAATCATATTGAATTAATACCAATCATAATACAGTATTTTTTTACATTAACTGACTTTTTTAGAATTTGGATCCCTAGCAAGGAGGTGTTCTTTATTAAGCTTTGCTATGCACACAACAGAACAAAATGAATGGTTGATTCTATACATGAGATAATTTTTCAGCATTTTTTTCAATTGCAAAAATACAGTATGCAACTGAAGTAGTTGGGCTTTTCAGAACAAGGGTTCCCAAGCTCATGTTGCTACATAACCCATATCCCTGGGTATACTTCAGTGAGTGATGGAAGTTAATTCAGCATTCATCCCAACTTAGAAATTAAGTGTTGTGGGAATTTTTCTCGTTATTCTAATTTTTCCCCATTCTTCCCTGTGTATTAATTGAATAATCTTTCTTCTTAGGTTAAGCCCTGCAAAAGACTGTAAAATTAAGCAACATAAATCAACATGGATATACAGGGAGTCCTCTACTTACAAACCCAATTGGGACTAGAAGTTCTGTTGCTAAGCAAGGCAGTTAAAAAAAAATCACACAAAATTTTATGATCTTATTTTTTACCATGGCTGTTAAGCAAATCATCACAGTAGTTAAGTGAACCACATAGTTAGGGGAATCTGGGTTTCCCCATTGATTGCTTGTCAGAAGTTATCCAGAAAAACTGCAGATAGCGGATCATGTGGCCCTGGGACATTGCAAATGTCATAAATACAAGCCAACTGCCAAGCATCAAAATTTTGATCATGTGACCACGGGAATGCCACTATGGTCATTGAGGACAGGGTTGTAAGTCACTTTTTTCAGCCTTATAACTTTGAACACTCAGTAAACAAGTGGTTGCAAGTCTAGGAATACCTGAACTTTGATTTTATACAATGTTTGTATGTCTTTGAGTTGGTTTTTGATTCCTGGCAACAGTTTTTATTGACAATTCTCAGCCAGTCCTTGAGTATTGAAGATTTGTCTTTAAATGAATCCAAACTCCAGCTACTCTTTAGGACAATGATGGTTTATTCAATATAGCATCAAACAACAAATACTCTAATTAGGCAAGAATGGCTAAAAGCCAGGCAAGGTTAGAGTTGGGTTTGAGTTTGGTCTCTTTCCTATTTTCACCATTATCATGAGACACAGGCCTATACGCAGTTCTAATTCTGGCCACGCCTAACCCATTATCCCTAAATGCTGTTAACCCTGTAACATGTCTACATCCCTACCCTATTCCAACCCTCACTAACTGAGCCCCACCTGGTGCTACCTTCACCATGTTTTAACCTAAGTCCTAATTACCACCTATATGTGCCCCAATCCTCATTAACAATATGCACCACATCAATAAAGAGCCAGTTCCAGCAGCCCTGCAGTTGTTGCAAAATCCATCCTGTAGCCCCGCAGTTGTTGCAAAATCCATCCTCAGCTGTGCCGAGTCATTCCAAAGCCATCTGCCAGCAAACAAGCAAAAATGCAGATCTGGCAGCAGCAGAGATAAGGTGACATGGCCAGCTGACTTGCTGCAAGGCATATTAAGAGCTGACGGGCTCTGGGTGAAGTCGGAGCCTGACGACAATGTTTTTCAGAAGTAGTTTGCCATTGCCGCCTCCTTGGGGCTGAGAAAGAAGGTCTAGAACTCATCGTCTCCTGGTTTCTAGCCTGGTGCCTTAACCACTACACTAAATTGGCTCCCTATTTATAAGTAGAAGAACATATAAATAAATTGGCCCGCATATGTATAAAAGGAATTGTGTCATTATAAATGAGATTATTTTAGTCCTAGCTAATGTATAGGTATAATGGCCATAGAGTTTGCATGCATCTGGAGTAATTTATTCATGCATCTGCTAAAGATTTTAATTGTGAGATAGGGATTCAGTGGTGTTTGTCTGCCTAGTATTATCTGCAACATCCAAGACGTGCCAATATCCTGAAACCCAGAAGCTAATTTTTAAGAGTTACTTTATAAATCTTTTGAAAAGAGAGTAAGGCATGCTATTATTAATGTAATCTTTGCATTGTCTCTGCTCATACACCTTTCCCTCAACTCTGAATTAAGCTCTAACAAGTTATTCTAATTGCCATTTTCAAGAAATTCCACATACCCCAAGATTTTAGGTGATGGTAAGATGTGATAGATATTGTTTTTCTTTTTTCCTCAGATCTTTTCTTCCTAAAGGAGTATAATGGTCTTAATTTCATCGATTTACTTTATTTCTCTATGATAAAAGGGTTCCCAAAGAATCAAGTAAAATAAATATATGTGATTTGTGTTGATTACAGTTCAGAGCAAAGTATATAAAATGTTTGAGTAGTAATTTGTGAGAGGAACTTACAAAGTTTTCAGATTAATTGCAGTAGTTGATATTCATGTTTATAGCATAGCAGGAAACATGCTATGCTATTCTAGGAGCATGGGAGTTTCTACAAAAACAGGAAAGTCAGCATGTCCTGTGTAGAAAAGGAGTTTTGATCTTAAAAAATTGATTCCACAAATTTAACTGACCCTGTCAGTATGACTAAACTACTAGCATTTTTTATATGAGATAATGAGTTTCTGTCTGAAATTATTGATTATTACCAGTATTAGGTAAATGAAAGAAGGAGTGAAAAGGGAAAGAAAAATCACTGAAAACACATGGGATTGTGTCATAAAGAAACAAAAACTATAACTTCTAACTGTAATTCGCATCTGAGTTCTCTAGTTAATGCTTGGCAGATATTCTTTTTTTTTTTTTTAAACAAATTTTATTAATTTTTAAAGACAAACAAAACATAAACCTTGTACACATTAAACCTCTTTCCCTTGTAAATTTTTACAAGGCAGATAATACAATATTTTATACAGTGTGATTTTAATATATCCCATTTCTACTTAAATATCTTTTAACACTCTCATTTCTTCTCCTTAAATTTAATCATCATATTCATATTTCCCTCTGTCTTGTTTGCAATTATTCTCCCGCTTTCCTCCAAGGTTTTACTAAATCTCACATAGACATAGACACACAAAACACATAAAGTAAAACTTCTTTTTCAAAAAAGTAGCTTGGCCCCGGATTACCACTCTTTGTATGGACTTCAATTAAATTCATATTCATCTTATATGCCATTACCTATCTTAATTACCATTCTGTAATTTCTTTATAACTTCTCCCCGCTTTCCTCTCTTCTTAATTCTATTTTGTTTATTAACTTAATTTAAATCATTATATTTCTATTCTTTGTCCATTATTTTCCAATTGTCTATATATTTCATTCCCCATAGTAAAATAAAAGAATTTCTCCTGAAATCACAAACCAAAGTATGATGCCTTTCCATCGCACCTCTAAATTAACATTTAAGGTAACTCCAAATTCCCTATCTGATTCTGCTTAGTACATACTACTTACAAAAAGAAAATAGTGAATCCATAACATAATTAAATATGTCATTAAACATTAAATCTCATAACATTCCAATTATCTATTTCAAAAGCAAGTATTACAATAATATATTCATACTAACATCCACACAATAATCAATTAAAATCTATATTTAATCTAAATATTTTAGACCTTCCTTTTAATATTTTATTAAATCTTCTACCATTATTAAACCTTTAATATTTTAGTCTTTACTCAAATCTTATAA